TCTGGTTATTGCACATAGGACCAGGCTGATCCCAGGATACCACAAGTTAGGGCTGCTAACGCAAACACCATGACACAACAGGACACCAGTGCCCTACCCCACTTTAATGAGTTTGTTCACATGTGCGGAAGTTCTTCGCCCAACTAAATTCGACCAAAGCTACTGAGACTGAGGAACTGAAAGTTTGGTTTTATTGCACGACCATATGAGACGGCCAGTATGTTTATGGCTGAATATGATGAGAATACGTTTGCTTGCCATGCCGAAGTAACTCCACAAAGGGTCTAAGTCTGTTTTGTTTATTGAGGTATGCTAAGTGTCTAGAATACTGCCTGGAACATAGTAGGTACTCAATAAATAATCACCGAATGAATAAATGACTGGATAAAACATTTGCCATGTTAGGCAAATGCTGAGAGATATATATAGTTTTACAGCTTTTGGCTCCTGTACAGCATCATGGGAGGCGGATGTGTGTAATATCACAATGAAATACTCTCTCAGACCAAAAGCAGTAACACGACCCTCACTGATCTAAGTAGAGATAGTATTTTCTGAAGAATTTCTGTGGCTGGTCACTAGAAACAGGTTTAAATTCTGCATTGGGAATTCGAATACTCTGATATACCCTCAGTTCCTAACTTGAAAACTAAGAAAACAACCTGTTTGGAATTGCCCTACCAGGTGCTCTGCTAGAACATTTTAGGCAAAACCTCATCAGCACAGGAGCGCAATAGGGATAGTACCATGTCACCAAATCCGCCGATGAACTGAAGCTAAGAGCTCTTTTTGGAGATGCGAAATGGAACACTAATGTTTTTCTTAAAGTCGGGGGAGTAACCCTACAGAACACATTTGGCGTGTATAACTCTTAGCACCTTAAAAAAATCGCATAAAATAGTCTGCAATACTAGTATTTATTTGCCCCAAAATAGTATTGAGAAGTAGCAGAAATGGAGAGACGTTACTAAAGAGAGCAAAGAAAGCAGTGATGTATTCTGTTCCAAATGGGGCGGGACTTAAAAAAAAAAAATACTGATAATATAGTGCAAAGCACATTACTTTTTATTATCAATATAATAAATTCTAAGTATCTTTGCTTTGTGAACCTGATATCATTATTAAGAAGAAAATATTCCAGAACTGATGATGGCATTTAGCCTGCATCTTATAACAATACAACAAACCATTATGCAGTGCTGTAGGAAACGTAAATAAAACATCTTCTGAGCACTTCTTTCTACCACTCAATACTTCTGGGGACATCTGACCTTGAACTGAGAGTCTGCTGAAAATGTTGTCCACATGTCTAAAGATCCCCCCCAACACACACACATGTACTCTGCCATCCACCCTCAACCGAACCATCTAAATTACATTCAGATTTTTGTGGTATCATAATAACTTCAACATGGGATATATTTTCAACATTCTGGTCAGAGACTCCTTTCTTCCCCGCCTCGCCCTCCTTCCAAGTTATTTCAGGCTCGCATATTTCATTTCCACATCTCCGTGGGATACCCATCACATAACATTTATTTGTGAGGTCTAAAGGCATAATGTGGGGGATTGTGAACCAGCATGTCAAAACCACATACTGCATGCGTACGTCTTAAAGAATGAAAAAGGATTCCTTTTTTCTCAAGATATATAAGCTGTCTCAACAGTATAAGTCCAAAATGAATACCACAACCTAATTAAAGATGAAGAGCATAACAAGCGGTATTAAAATGTCTTTTTTGATTCATTCTTCTCCAAGTTATGTTTTTATCAAATGTCCTGTCTCGTTAATGACTTCAATAGACATAATGAGTATACACACCTTCTAATCTCTCCAAATTCAGAAGAGAGTTGAAAGAATTTTCCCCTACATGTTTTGGGAGGTACGACAGCAGAGAAAACAGAGGCAGGGTAGAAAGGGGCTTCGAGAAGATGCTAAGCCTATTCACCTGTCTACAAGGGTGAACGTACTTTTATATACTCCCTGCAAAATGAGGCTGTTTTTAGAGATGTCTAGAGTCAGAAATCCCACAATCTCTCTTGGGACTCCATTCCTACATCTGAGAACTTTTCTTTCTAGGAAAGTCTTCGAGTCTCCCCACGCTTCAGGGCCAGAGTCAGGAGCACGTGAGCTGGGCAGTCATACAGGGCCCCCTGCTCAGAAGGGCCCCAAACTTGGTTTAATGCTTGGCTGTCACCATCTTGAAATTCTTAATAATCTTACCTTTGAACTTGTGTTTTGTCATTCTGATGGGACAATACAGTGTGTGTGAGAAGGGAAGATATGCACAAAATGCATGCCTCCTCCTCCACTCTGCCCCTTTCACAGATAGCCCCTACGCTCAGAATTCCCATGGTCCCGTGATGAGTGGGAGACTCACACCAAGAACAGGGAAGGCGTGTCACATCTGGCACCGAAAGCCCCGAAAGGCTTTTCATTTGAACCAGAACGTGTTCTGAAATGAATAAAGAAGGCAATCGATTCAAAGAAAACAGGAATGACTAAGGAAGCCATCATACTCCTGTTATTGCCCTGTAATGTCCAACTGTGACACTAAAAACAATAACACTGAAGGGAAGGAAACAGGACAACACAGAGCTCCTTTGCCTTCCAGTCCGTCCTCGCTCGTCAGTGAGCTGCAGGTATTAAGTGTCGGTAGATGTGCACATATCAAGGAGTGATTAAAGACAGTTAAGTTTGTGCAGGTTCCACAGTTTTGTAAGAACGAAATACATATACGTGTATGAGCTACGAAGTACAAGTTGTGTAACTCTGTTGGTTCCACATATGAGTTTAATGCTCTTCTATTTGTATTAACTGTCATTGCACATTATAAACGGTAAAATTCACGCTAACAATTTAAATTAATTTTTTTCTTATTCAGAACATAAAATAGCAAATACAACACCATGAGAGGCTACAGATAGTAAAAAGCTTTGTTTTTAGTACCTCTTTGAACAGTACTTCAGCACTGCTTTCTGCTTTTTTGAACAAGGGATCTATATTTTCATTTCACACTGTGCCCTGTAACTTACTCAGCTGACCCGCCCTGTCCCTCATGCCCAACATTATATCTGCCGCGTCTGTTCTGCCAAGTCATCTTCTGCTAGCTGTCACCCTTTTCCCCAGGCATTCACCCAACGAATATCGACTGCACTAGGGTCAGGCACTGTGCCAGGTACTGAAAATATAAAAATGAGCAAGAGATTATTCCTGCCCTCAAGTGTAGTCGAGAAGACAAATAACCATAAAAAGGTAACAATACCTACCCTGCATGACTTTAGTGAGAACTATAAATAATATACGTAAACTGTTTAAACCACTTCTAATAACGAGTAAGCACTCTGCTCAATTATCTCATCAATTCTTATCACAACTTACTGAGTAAGTCATATTATTGTTTCCATCTTTTAGCTATAGAAGCAGAGATTTAGATCAGTGAAGAAACTTGACCAGAGGGACTTTGTCGTTGGGTGGTAGAACCAGGAACTGAGGCCACCCAAGTCCTTCTGACTGCTAAATCTGAGCCCCTAAGTGATAATTATCGTTCTTAGTAATGTAATCTCAACCACTGTATTCTTTACTTTCTATTATTACGATGTCTATATTTCTACCTTCTCGAAGGTCAATTTTAGCTATAATTTTATTTTATCAACCTAAAGAAAAGTATATTCTATATTTTTTCAATTCATTTATTAGTATTTTATTTAGGATATAAATTATAGCTTGATTTTTTTTTTTAATCTGACAATCCTTTGACCCAACTGCAGAAAATTAGATTCAACTAACAAAGCTTATGACTTTCAAAATCATATTCGTGACTTTGTTTCCTAAAATACAGTATACCGGTTAAAAACATGTACTTTGGAAGCAAACAGACCTGGGTCCAAATCCTGGCCTCTGCCCCACTAGTTCTGGAAAGAGGCTTAACCTTCAAAGCCTAAATTTTCCCATATGCAAAAAGGGATGAAAATAGTACCTTAATTACCTTATGGGGCCATGTGTAAATTTAATAAGATAATCCTTGTGAAACTCTTAAAATAATAACTTGGTACTTAGCGAGCACTCAAAAATGTTAGTTTTAGTACTATTTTTAGTGCCATATTTTCACATCTATGTTTAAAAATAATTTGAAATTACCTTTTTCTTGAAATAGTTTCCTCTGCTACAAGAACTAAATTCAAGAGTCTCTAATTTCCAAGAAGTATATTATTTCTTTGTACTGAAAGCATGCAAAAAGTTACCCCCAAATGGCTGCTGGTGGTCACAGATATCTCTACAATCCAAGGGATAAGAGATGTTTTTATTTAAAGAATCCTTCACTAAAAATTCCAAATACAAACCCTCGTTTTTCCCTTTTCATTCTAAACTGCCTCTTCAAAGAATCAGGGGTAAAATGAGTTTATAAACTATATATAAAGAACTGTAATAATGCAATAAAATACTCCTGCTATCTCAGTTCTCTCCAGCCCTTTAAGTGACAATTAAATTTCAGAACACTGAGCAAATTAAAACGGCTGAACTCTTTTCTCCCGCGGAAAAAAAGGATGAGCCAGTCTGAAGGTTTACTGCCGGTTGAGAGTCCGTCTCCCTGGCTTCTGAGTGCTTGAAGAGCACATAGAAAACAGACTGGACACCACATGAAAATGGACACTGTACCTTTTTTAAAATAGCTCTAGGGGAAAAGAAGGCCTTTATTTGCCATTTTTACTTTGGTTTAAAGAAAAGGAAAACAGGATTTGGTCAGTGGGGCCAAGCCAAGGGGATGGGACAGCCTAAAGGTCCGGCTCTTCAGCTGCGTGGACTCGAGTCCAACAGCACGGATTTGGAGCTGTCTTTACCGCTTTCTAACCGTGTCATCTTAATTTGGGTTAAAAAAAAAAAAAAAAAAAGCCTTCATTTGATATCTTACAAAACGTGACAGTCACGTGATAGCTTCCCGAAACCCATTCTTTTCCATAACAATGGCCGTCTCTACTGCAGACCTGTGGGTTCTTACCAGTTCCTGAGTGTCCTGCTGCAGCGGCAGGAAGGCCGCTTCCAGAATAGCAACCTGGTCGGCACTGAGCTTCTGCCACAGTCCGATGAGCAGAATCACCAAGTGAGTGGCACTTCTCAGCCTGATGAACGCCTGGAACAGGTTGTCCTGGTTTTCCTCTACTGCATCTGCTAGAGCAATCACCTGCAGAAATTACGAACTTCGGTGAGGGATAATTTCACAGTTCTTGCGCCCTCAACAAATTACATTTGGCACACTCTTGTTTTTCCTTAAAACAACTTGATGAGCTTTGTCTCCCAAAACACAAGCTCTGTTGAGTAATAAGAGAGTTATCAGTCATCTGTTCACGTCCTTCTTTAAAAAATAAAAAAAAAAGCCTGCAACAATTCCAAATCCATATGGCCGGGAGATAAAAATATCCACGAAGTCAGCTTCACAGGGACATTGTTCATCACTGACTGACCTTCTACAGTACACAATAATAGAAGTAACCTCTAATACAGTTATTACAATCTATAATACTAGCCAGAGATGGATGAAGTTTTAAAATTCTTATCAAAATATTGCATTTGCCTTGTAATTTAAAACAACTGCATTACACCCTTATCAGAAAATAACTATCTTCCTCTGATTACTATTTTCCATATGTTTCATGGTATTGAGATATCCAATATCTATATATCCAAAGAACAGATAATGTTCAGCCATTTAACCAGTCGAGTAATGTGTCATTTTTAACACCAGTGTCGGGCACCAGACCATAGGTATCTGAAAGAAAAAAAAACTTCGGGGTGTGTTAGCTTTACAATACCAAATCTACTAGGATAAAATTGGCAGGAGTGAGTAGGATTGGATTTTCTTTTTTCATCCTCTTGAATAATCCCGTGGAAAACAGAAGCAAAGCAACAATTAGATGGAATATCCAAGACTGCCCATTGGTGTTTTATTTTATTTTAACGTCTTGGTGAATTTTTTGCTCATTAGAAGTAACAAACTGACTGGCCCAGAGGTCCAAGGTGTCTGACGGCCCCCAAAACAGAAACAGCAAACATCAGGGCAGTTTAAGCTCCTTTCTACAAGTCCCCACCAGCCTGAGGGATGAGAGCTCGGATGAGTTTCAGAAGTCTAGTGTATGATGATCCATTTGGTGGTATTTCATGGGCTATTGACGCTGGCCCAAAGGGCTTTTTAAAACATCATCATTCAAACAAGTGGACTCTACAACTGTATGTCTCCCAAATTCCATGTGGGGCGTAGGGCTGCAGGGGAACAGCCCTCGGGGTATCTGGGAGGCACTGGGAAACAGATGTAGGTTAGGAAAGGACAAAGCAACTGAAGGTCCTGGCTTGACAATGCTGGGCAGACCGGGATTCTTTGCCACTCGGTTGAGGGCTTGCCGGAGTTATAAAGGCAGATTCGGCTCTCCAGGGAGCCCTGGGGGTCTGGACCAGGGTCAGCAGTACAATACAATGAAGTGCATTGCTTACTATGTGCCTAGTACTGTGTTGCTTTCCATTTGCATTGAAAAGAAGTATGTGATATTTTACAGCCCGTGAGGATCTTATAATCTCTTGGATAGAAAACATACACGTACGATCAATTAGTGGAAAGAACCATTACTGTAATGATGTCCTAATTGTGCAGAAGAGAAAGTAAGTGCGAAAGAAGTTACCAAAGGGATAGATTATTATGGGCCAGAGTTAATATCCCTGGGGCCTTCTTGACTCAAATGAGGCTTGGAACTCATCTCTTCCCCATTACTTCAAGAAGTCCCCTCGAAGACAGAGAGAGAGGCCACTTTTCTTAAACCAAAACACCTGGAATCATCTGCTTCCCCCACTCTCACCATGATTGCAACTGACTCCTGTCAAAGTCTCAGTTTATACCTTTTTCTTCCTGTGAATGTTACCAATTAAGCCTCATTGTGGGGGTCATCGTATTATGGTACAGATGCTTATTGTCAATAAATCCAAATTATACAAAGATCAAGGTCATAAACACTTCCCAAGGGCCAGGTATGTGTATGAATTTGCAGGAAGCACTCCGGGGAATTCAATGGCGACAGATCTCATCTCCATGTTCAAAGACTTTATAATGGAGGAAGGAAAACAGGTCAAGGGGGCCAATGCTGACAATGTAGGGAAGACGTATAGACTCTAAAGGAGAATGCTATTAATACTTTATTATTATTATTATTATTATTATTTATTTATTTATTTTTATCGCTCAATCAACAGTCTTTTATGACCAGGCACCACTGGCTGGCCTAGGGCCCCAGAGGTGGATCAGCCTTAGTCCCTGCCCTCTGGAGTATTATTATTATTAATAATAATCCGCCCAATGACTGGAGCGTAGACTGCAGGCCAGGCTTTCTGCTCTGTGCCATCAGGTATCAGTGCCTTCAGTCGTCACCCCCACCGCGACTTAGTCGGCATGATCTCTATTTTACAAATGACATCTCTGAAGCCCAGCAGATGAAAGGCATTTGCTCAGTACTGTACACAGGGTGTGCAAACTGTGCTTAGAAGGGTTCCTTGCCTGGTTTAATGCCCTGCTATCTCTGTCTTGAAATTCTTAATATTTCTATTTTTGAACTTGTTTTTTGTAAGTAAAGTCAGCAGGATAATGGAGCACGCCAGGAGCGGAGGAGAACTGCTCAGTAACTCCTAGGAGTTAAAGGCTCTTACATTTGCATTTAAAACTGGCATTGTATAAGATTAATGGTCAAATTCATACTAACGATTTAAAATTTTAATTTTTCCTTACTTGGAATGACATTAAATAGAAAATAAAAAATGCCATCGGAAGGTGCGAGGGACCACTGAAGAAAGGAAAAGCTTTATATTTTAATAGCTGTTTTAACAGCAGTTTCTTCCTGTCTTTTAACAAGGGCCCTGCATTTCCATTTTGCACTGGGACTGCAAATTAAGTAGTCAGCTTGACCATCGCCTGGACACGAGTGCTCAGGATGCAGACCATGGAGTCTCCCACTCCGACGCATGAGACCTGAAGCACCTTACAGGGAGGGGCCTCATAACACCCCGAGGGCATGGGGGTGGGGCTGGGTGGCCGCCAGCTCCTGCGGGCTCAGGGGAAAGAACCGATTGCTCAGTTCAGGGGAATTTTGTGAGCCAGAGCCAGCTGTTAAAAACGGCTATTACAAAAAAAAAAAAAAAAAAAAAAAAGACCAAATTACATAAACTTAAAATTAAATAAATTACATTAAAACAAAGGTCATAAATGCGCAAAGCTCATTACTTCCTAATCATTTTGCTATGAGCCAGGCCCTCGGGGTTTTATATGCGTGTTGCCCCTGCGTGTGGGAAGCACAGCCGTGTGGGCTCCTGCACATCTCATCCCATCTCTGCAACCCCACGCTGTGCTCTGCGACCTCACGCTGGTAGCTTGAGATCGGCCATGGGGGAAGTATTTACAACGTGGAGGTCGACAAACGTTCCACAGCCAGGCTTCCCACCACGCACCCCTCCCCAGAGAGCCCGTTGTTAAATGTCTGCCAGCGCGCCGCTGAGAAGCAGTACCTGACATCTGTCCTCAAGAAGAGATGCTGGAGAAGGATGCTTTAAAAATGAAGGCAACAACCTGAACACATGCCTGAAAGCAGAAAAGCAGAGGCTGCTTGTTCAGGGACGAGCAAATGTTCCAGTCTGGGAAAAGCACTTAATGAGACAGAAAAGGTAAACTGGGCGACTGCTGTAGAAGAACCAGAACGTCAAGGTGAAGTACACGCACTCAGCTGTAGGTGCTGGGGAGCCACGGAGTATTCTAAGTGTGGGCATTACCTGATGGAGGTGACAGGCGAAGCAGCTGTGGGATGACAGTAAACGTTTGGGGCATTTGCTGGGCTCCTCACTATCAAGGGGAAACTTTTACTAACTGTAACGGCACGTCAGTTCGTGGACCCACCCAACCTGCTACACGCAGCTGTGGCGGTAGAATGACTTCTCAGCCCCGGCCACAGGGTCTTTGCTGAGCGGGTCCCAAAATACACCGACCCACGAGAAGCACCGTTTCTCTAAGTCTCAGTGTCACTGGCTATATTCCTGTGCCACTGTGGAAAGAGTCTGCTGTCCCCAAATGGTCTCAGAAATGAAAAAAGAAAAGGGATAAACAATTCCTTATATAAACTACCCCCAAGAAAAATCTTCCTGACCTACTGGCCAGCATGAAATACTAAACAGATCTCCATGTTCTCAATTTAGTTTTACACGTAACGGCCAAGTTTACTTTGTTCTCCACCAGAGCCAAATGAATTTAGCAGAATTAATATAAAAAGGGCTGGAAAAACTGGACCTATCGAGATTCAGATCTGACCAGGCCTAGAAGATTCCGCAGCTCACCTGGACCTGAGAAAATGAGGCCAACCAGCTGTAGGACTTAAATTGGAGGGAGTGATCCTGCAGTGCTCATCGCTGGCCGTGGAAGCTGTGTGTTCCCCGGTGTGCAACAGAATACAGAACGGGAGGGGCTTCGGAAACAACAAATGCTAACGATTCCAAACACAGTGTATTGATGGCCTTTGTTTTGCTTTTACAAATTGAAGGTTTCCAAATAAAATGGAGACCCCAAAGGACATCTTTGTCCAACTGCCATATCAGTTGATGCCAAAGTAATGAGGCAGAGGCCCAGGGAGCTGCTTGCAGGAAAACGGTCAACTCATAAAGTGAGTGTGAAATTAATCCCAAATACTTCCAGCTGCCAACATAGGCTCTAAAATTGGTTACAGGAAAGCAGCAGCAGCAGCAACAACAGAGCAGACATGAATCATACTATATGAACACGGACATGTCCAATTTCTTCGCCTAAACGTACGACTGAAGCTGCCTCCAGATCTCGTGTAGCACACAGAATCCCACTGCGCTGGTATATGGCTGTCATCTCCTGAGCCCCGACCGTGGGACAGGCACTGTGCTAGTGCTGCTGTACCCAGATTATTGTTCGAGTCTCACGACTACCCTCTGAGGTAGGAATTGTTGATCCCCGTGACCCCAACTTTCTCATGAGAAAAACCAAAACTTACAGCTCTGATGCGCATATAGACATTGTCCATTGTCATGCACTAGGGTGGAGAAGGGCCAGATTCCTATCCTATCTTCTGGTTCCCCATGGAGTGTCCTTTCTTCTGCAGTGATACATGAATGTACACAGCTGGCCCTAAAATAATT